ATCATTTTATCTGGTACCATTATTCAATTTAGATATTGTATAGGGTGTGCCAACAATCATTTTTATAACCAAATAACTGACTCTGCTTGCTTGGGTGACCTTTTTAATGGTCAAATTCACAGGTCACAATAGTAACTGTCAGTTCAACTACACCAAGGTTTCTGAAGACAATGGCTTCATTACCCAAGCAATTGTGAAGAAACTTTTAAATGGAACCTGGTATCACCCTGAAGGAATTCTAACTTCACACTGTTGGGGATGTTTACCAAGATGGCTTCAGAGTAGACTAACTTTACACAGCACATTTAAAAAAAAGACACATTTATTCAGCGTCATGATCAGACTATTACATTTAGCAATCAACAGCATGGGTGCAAAAAAAAAAGTCTACATTAAAACCCCTTGTTGGAATGCTTTACACTTTCCACAGAACAGAAACTAAAATAACCTGTTATACAATTAGTCACAAATACAGTCCTCGAGTTTTTTTGCCCATACACGAGTATTGTCTAAAACATGTCTTCTTTGTAGCAGCTAGGCCCTGCCACCACTGTGCTTGGCTGAGTTCACAAATCTGTTGTAACCTGTAGCTTCCCTGTCACTTCTCTGGCTCTCCTCTCCTGCTAAGCTTTGTTTCCTGTTGAACAATATGGAATAAAGTTGTTAATCTAAACATATTAAGACTCAAGGCTATAATCCAACAGCAAGTTGTTTCCCACAAATTTTGCTGATCTGAACATTAATATCCACAATTTTACTGCAATTATAATGTTAACTATGTCACACTGCTCAGCTACATTAGGGTTACTGGGTTTATCAGCAATTATGAAAATTTAAGTCAACACAAAAAAAGGGGTTGGTTACCTGGCAGTATTAAAACCTTCTGCCACTGCCATAGCTACTGCTGCTGCTGGAACCGCCATAGCCACCTGAAATAAAATCTCTTTTAGGCTTTAGAAGTACTAACAGAAATGATTTTAAATTTAAGACAATCCCAAGTTCATATTCATGAACCTGGCTATTCAAAATAACTCTTGCCTAAACTGACTAAAGGTTATCAGTCAAATGGATTTCTTAATTTGATTGCAAATCACAAAAGTTTGATGACTTTAAATAGCAGGATTTTACTATCCACACATACCAATTTGATGAGCTAACAGATTTCTTGCTAGTACCCGCTCTACTCAGCCCTCTGCCATTATTTCCTACTATATAGTATACCTTGATTTCGTGGTTTGGCAAAGTATTGGCCTCCACCACCATAGGGCCCAGAGCTTCTGCCGCCAAAGTTTCCTCCCTTCATGGGTCCAAAATTTGAAGACTGATTGTTGTAATTGCCAAAATCATTGTAGCCTCCACCACCTCCAAAACTGCTTCCTAGGAATGGAAAAAGTCCTTTATCTGTTACTTGGAGAAGATGATTGATGGTTCCCAACTGTGCTTAGTGTTCAGAATGAAAGAGGTCACATTAGCTGCCTTCCTTTCTCCCAAACTGGTGCTCCAAATTCTTTGTACTTCATTCTCTGCATAAGGCACTCATGAATAATGCAGCATTAAGAAAAATCAACCGAACTCACCATGATACACTTTTGAGTTTTCCTTAGTGACACTTACAAGCACTCTCCAGTCTTGAAGGCCTTTATGTATTCCAGGCCAGTGTAAACAAATTTTGTGCATATAGATCAACTAAGTGCCTAAGGTCCCAAAGAAGTTTAGATACATCCTGCCACGGTACTGCTAATCTAACTTAAATTCAAGACACCACTATCCACTTATCCAACTACTTATTTATTTGGGAGTGAGGCGGCCCCAGCTTAAAGCCAGGAGGTAGCACAGCAAGCTTGTTCGTAATGTACCATGCAGTGTACCACACAACGCTTTAAGAGCTTCAAATTCCAGTAAGGTCACAAACTCTAAAAGGCTAATCTAGCTATCACACCAAATACTTGGATCACTGGATACCTACCACTACCACCGCCAAAGCCGCCTCCGCCTCCTCCGTTGTTATAGCTGTCATAGCTGCCACTCCCGCCATAGCCACTGCCCTGGTTTCCATAACCCTGTCCACCACTTCCATAGCCTCTGCTTCCTCCAGAGTAACCAGGGCCGCCTCCTCCATAACCACCTACAAGAATACAATTCTTCTCAATAAGACAAAAGTATTTAACAATAAAAATATGTTCAAGTGTAATGGCTGAAGGCCTGTTCACAGCATGCGTATTATGGGCTGAGGTGAGCTTGTCATGCACTAGGTTTTAGTTTCTACTAGCCTACTCTAAAGGTACAGGTTGCCAAAAAATTTTACTTACATATTCCCTTAAAAACTTACCATCATTACCAAATCCATTGTAGCCATCCCCACTGCCACCATATCCACCTCCACCACGGCTGCCACTAAAGCCACCTAGAATGAAATTTTAAATTAGGTTTGATACACATTAATTGGACAGCATGGACTAATTCAAAAAAATGTAACTAAATTTGGCTTAGGAAGCTTAGATAAAATGTAACTCTGAAAATGTAGGCTAATAGTTACAAAAAGAACAGATGAAATACAAAATCACTATTACATAAACCTTACCTCGACCACTGAAGTTTCCTCCCCGACCGAAATTGTCATTGCCACCAAAACCACCTCCACGGCCACCACCAAAATTTCCAGAACCACTTCGACCTTAAAAGTTAAGTTCAAGCGTTAAGACATAGTTTGTAGTAGCTCGAGTTTACCTCTTAAGGTTTAACTAAGCATAAAACATACCTCTTTGGCTAGATGAAGCACTAGCCATCTCCTGTTTCGACAGGGCTTTCCTCACTTCACAGTTGTGGCCGTTCACAGTATGGTATTTCTGAACTAAAAAAATTTAAAGTGAAACAAGGCCTTAGGGTTTAAACAACTTACTGTTTTACAGTCCTTAGTAAATGCTACTGACTTGCTACTTACTGACAATCTTATCCACAGAATCATGATCATCAAAGGTTACAAAAGCAAAGCCCCTCTTCTTCCCACTGCCTCTGTCAGTCATGATTTCAATCACTTCAATTTTTCCATACTGTTCAAAATAATCTCGTAGGTGATGTTCTTCAGTATCTTCTTTAATGCCACCAACGAAGATCTTCTTCACAGTTAAGTGGGCACCCGGTCTTTGAGAATCCTAACAGAATGAAAACCGCTTAAGTTATTTAGATGAGCAAAACTTGCCCTCACATTTAAATAACTTAAGTTTAGATCTCTTTGAAATCTGGTACCACTATTAACACATCACCAAGAAAAAACAAAGGGTAAAAATAATTGCTCACTTCTCTTGAGACAGCTCTCTTTGGTTCCACAACTCTTCCATCCACCTTGTGTGGCCTTGCGTTCATGGCTGCATCCACCTCTTCCACAGTGGCGTAAGTGACAAACCCAAAGCCCCTGGAGCGCTTGGTGTTTGGATCTCTCATTACCTGAGAACAGTTAATTCATTAACACGTGGTCTGACTCCGGAAGTTGGGAGTCATTTATTTCTACTTCAAGTGTGGCCAACAAGAAACTTTATACCAAGCCTGTATACAACGCCTTTCAGTTTCCCACAACCAGATTTAGGAAGTAACTTTGAATACTGGATAACAAAGCAAGTTCCTTTGCCAAATTATTCCTATAATTCTACGAACTACCGTCATAAAACATTCAGACAAGAACTACAGCCAGATAAGCTCAGGAATCAGCTAGTTATATGGCCTTTTGTCCCTTCCAGTTCTTACCACACAGTCCGTAAGCGTTCCCCATTGCTCAAAATGGCTTCTCAGACTCTCATCTGTTGTTTCAAAGCTCAGCCCTCCGATGAACAGCTTCCGCAGCTGTTCGGGCTCCTTAGGAGACTACAGTGGAGAAGAGGAGCATTTAATGGAGATAACATTTTGAAAAGCAAAAGCAGGCAACAACCTAAGAAGCACTCATTGTTCGTTCAGGCCACAACAAAACACGTGCTTCTCCCTCTAGGAGCGGTGGTGCCGTCGAGGGCTGGGCAGCCGCTAGCGCATGCGTCCCTCCTCCACTCCAGTCGCAGGCGCCAACAAAAGGCCAGGGCGGGAGAGTGCGTCGCCAGGACCACAGCAATAACTCTTTTAAAATATTCGCCCAGAAAACAAAGTATAAAACAGACTGTATATGCCCAGGAGTGTGGCCACGAGCAACTATCCCGAGAGATAATTAACGGTTGGCGGGAGCAGCCTCATGGCGACGACGAAGACAAAATGGCGACCTGAACTTTGGTAGTAGGCCCCGGCTGCGGCCGAAGAAACTGCAAAAAGCACTGGTGCGTGCAACGCAACCAAGCTACATCCTACCGAACTCCGGGAAAGGCGAGAAAGAAAAGTTGGCAAAATCGTCTTCCTTACCTCTGACTTAGACATGACGGCAGTCGGAAGAGAAACTAAAGATGCTTCCTCGGCGGTGTCCACGAGCAAAAAGGAGTGAGCTACCGAACGTACTCAGCAGCCTACCTCCTATCTCGCCTTTTTATCCCGCCTCCGCGCTTACGGCATTGGTAGACTCCGCCCCTGCCCAGCTCTCATTGGATAGTTGAAACCGTTTACCCCTACTATTGGTCCTTGATATGCGTACGCCCTTAGACGTCATCCGTTTGGGCGGTCTACGAAGGCTCCGCCCCTTTGAGTGCATTGGTTCCTGAGGAATGATAGTGTTACCCAGTTTGATTGGCTACCTTACCAATCATTCATATTTGAATGTGCCCAGGGATTTAAATGATTTTTTAATCCTCCACGCGCAAATATTATCTTCAACCCGCTTTGCAAAGGGTGATTAATACTATACGTTAGGAAAGGAGTTTGTGACAAAACTTTCTTTGCCTTGACCACCAATTGAGCGCACGTGTAGTAAAATGGCGAGTTTACGCAGGCGTATTAAGAAGTTCCGCCTGCCGCTTGGGACACGTGAAATGGCGGGCGAGAGAGGGCGGTGAACCCACGGCGCCTGCGTGGCGGCGAGCGTTGTGCCCTGTTTTGCGCAGGCGTTATGGGCGGAGAAAGGGTCCCGTTCCAGGATTGGTTGCGCAGGCGCAGGGAAGGATCCGTTTTGGCGGGCGGTTGGCGTTGCGCAGAAGGCGGCGGCAGCAGTGGCCTGTGGTGCAGCCTCACCACACGACAGGGCGGGCGTTAGTGTGAGTGATCACTCTCGATCCCAGGTAAGTGGCAGAGAGTCTTACTTATACATAGGAGATCTTCAACCGGCCCCTGTTGGGCCCGTTATTGTGTGAAATGAATGGATCGCGGGGTGGGGGGGGATAGTGAAGGGACAGCGAAGGGTCGGGCCAACCAATAGAAGAACAGGGGGCGGGATGTTTTATTCCTGCAGGTTCTTTGGAGCTGTGCAGCCGAAGAGTTTGACTGGCGAGTGTATAGGCCAATTGGGTCTGCCTCGAGCTGCCGACTGATCGGCCCTTGGGCCATCGGAATGTGGGAGGCGGGTTTTCTTCTCCTCAGCAGCGTCTCACTGAGCCAGTGAGCACGAAGCGCGCGGTAGGTCGGCCTTCTCCGAGAGGCAGTGGTTTGACTCCAGTGGGGAGCGCGGGAGTCGGGCGGTTAAGAAGGTGGACCACATCCGGAGTTTGTCCCCGCTCCTAAAGAGGGGGATCTTAGACTTGCAGTTGTTGAGGGAGGAATTCAGTGTTAGACGAAAGGGTTCGTTGGTAAACACTGTATGGAAGGCGTCCAAGAAAAATCTCCGTCATTAGAATGCATATTTACATGAACAAGTATTTGTAGGCCCACAGAAAAAGATCGGGAATGCTCCACATAAAAGTGTGTACTCCTAGGGACACACCGGGATCGCGGCAGGTTGGGTCTCTAATGTTTAAATCTTTTCAGGGATGATAATTTGTCATTAAAATTAAATAAAAAATTAAAAGACTTGTTTTTGTGTTTCCAGTCATCGTGTACTTACCACCACTCCTTTTCTCCATTATCTATTTCTCCATTTATCTTGGCCTCTTTCCCTGAGGAACTTTTCCTCCAATAAATATAGCTTTCTTTGCACCATTAAAGATGTTCTCAGCCCCCTCTCTGTTGTTCCCTTGAAAATATCTGACTTTAGATTAAAAAGAAGCTCTTTAAGGAGGGTATTTTTAGGGTATCAGGACAGAAGATGGATGCATCATCTGGATCACCATCCTCTTGATTAGATTTCCTTCAAAGTGTATTTTACACGTAGACTATCTCCTGTTGGTAATGCCACTATGCTTATTAGGATCATTCAGAAAAATCTATAATTTGGGGGGTTTTTGGTTTTGTTTTGTTTTTTTGAGACAGGGTCTCACTATGTAGTTCAGGCTGGCCTTGAACTCGAGATAATTCTGCCTCAGCCTCCCCAGTGGTGGGATTACAGCATGCACCAGAATGCCCAGCTAAAATTTTATTATGTTTTGGCTGTATTAGAATCGCATTACTTTATTGTTACTGATTTATTGAGGGCAAGGGGAAATTTTTAGGGTTCTTGTCTGGTACTGGGAATTGAACTCAGGACCTTGCACTTACCCAGGTGAGGTGCCACTGAATTACATCCCCGACCCTAGGGGAAATATTTAAGTGGTAATAAAGTCAACTACATCTGAAGTACACTTATGATTAGAGGCTTTTCTGCCATTGTACAAAAGAATTTATTTCAGTAGAGTTTAAAATGAACAAATTTCCACATTCACTGATCCTTGAAAAGGACAAAACTATATTTTGTAACTACATAGTTATAAACGTATTTGTAAGTATGCCAATAATGCAGTTGCTGAGCTTCTAAAAATTTATGTGATTGGGGCCAGGGATTTAGCTCCGTGGTGCTGCCCCTGGCCTGCCTCGAAAGCACAAGGTCCTGAGTTCAATCCTCGGTACCAGAAAAAAAAAAAACTTACATGATAATGGGTGGGCTAAGGATATTAAGATATATAAGGATAAGGATAATGGGCTAGGTTTATTTAGGTTTGAAAGGAATACTCCCACCCCACCCTGCAAAAAAAGGAAGGAGGGAAAAAATCTTTTTGCAGAGAGTGATTTGGTGCTAAGGGTTGATCTCAGGGCCTTACACATGCTAGGTGAGCACTCTACCACTAAGCTACATCCCCACCCCTTTTATTTTGAGACAGGTTTCTCCCCAAATTGCCTGGGTAGGCCTTTGTGATTCTCCTGCTTTAGCCTCCTGAGTAGATAGGATTATAGGTATGTGCCACAATAATGTCCAAAAATACAGTCTAAAATGCCTTTTGTGCTGGGTGTGGTGGCACACCTGTAATCCCAGTGTTCTGGTGGCAGAGGATCGCCACAAGTTTGAGGCCACCCTGGGCTGCATCAAGGTCAGCCTGAATGACGTAGCAAGACCCTGTCTTCCAAAAACAAAACGCTAGGCAATTGCTAGGGTGTATTATCTTCAGACTGTTCCAATAGGAAAAGATGGGTGAAGTGTTTAGGGAGTGGTCTTTGGTAAATGGGTCACTGATGTTTCTCTCCAAACATGGAATCATTGCCCCTTTGGATAAAAGCAAAACTTCAGTAAGGTTGTTTATCATTTCTTGAAAGTTAGACATGCAATTGAGTACATTTTGTGTTTGTTTGGCATGCTAAAATAATAACATATAGGGTTGGTGATGTAGCTTAATGGTGGAGCCCATGGTTAGCATACATAAGGCCCTGGGTTCAATTCTCAGGACCAAAAAAAGACACATGTTTTTAAGGAAGGTGAACTTTGCCCAGTTTGGGATACTTAGCAATTTAGTGAAATTATCTCAAAAAAAATTTTTGAGACCGTCTTGTGGGCTGGCCTTGAATTCACCAGGCTGCCTGCGAATTTGTGGTGATTGTTCAGTCTCCCAAATGCTGAGATTGCTGGCACGTGCCACCATGGCCAGCATGTCTCAACTCTTGACAGTACTTTAGAAAAAGGGAAAGGTTTGGAATCCAGGGTACAGAGGTTTCTGAGTAGTGAATTTTTGTGTTTAGTACTGAACCCACCTTGGCTTCGTACATGCCGACCACACTGACCCTGACGTACATCCTCAGCCCCTCTTGTTTCTATGAGGTGTTTTATGTAACAGCATGATTTCCATATTTTATTGCAATCATTGTTTAATAACTGCCTGGGAGACCTATTCTTGTTTTTGTTTTTTTACTTGGTCTTTTTATTTTCATTCACTTTACTTGAAATTGGGCCTAAACCATGCTGTTGATACTGATTTTTTTTAAATGTGTTTGTGGTACTGAGGATTAAATCAAGGACCTTCTCACTAAGCTATATCCCTAGCCCTTTTTTAGTTTGAGACAAGGTCTAAATCACCCAGGCTGGGCTCAAACTTTTGATCCTCTTGTCTCAGCCTCCCAGAGTGCTGGAATTACATGTGTGTACCACCATATGGGGCTTGGATTTTGATTTTAAAAACAAATTAGGGTGTATGATAGCACTTGACCCAGTGTAACTATTTGTACATTGTTATTTGTGAACTTAAACTCTGGGGAGTCATCTCTTGTCTGATATAAACTTTTGATTTTTCTTTCTTGCTCATAGAGGATGATTTTAACTGATCATTGTACTAATAGGGAAAAATCCAGGTCATCCTGAGAAGAGTTGGCTTATGCAGAGTCCAAAACACATTTGTTGGATTTCTGTAAGCCACTTGAAGCCACATATTCATTTCTGATGACAACTTTACACTTGTGCTGGCAGAACACCCACAGTGACAACTGCTGCCTATGTTTAGTCTGCCCAGGAGCTCAACCAGCTAGTGTGTTTGTGGGAAAACCTACACTGTTCTTGTTAGCAGCTATGTAAATATTAGACCTTTCTGAATGTGTCTTCTCAGGTCTGCCAGTTTATTTTTGGTCAAATCATTTCCTTCAGTTGCCTCAATTTTACCCTTTGACATGAGGTATTAAAGGTTTTAGGCACAATTATTTTTGGGTCAGTGATACTATGTATTTCTAATTTCTAATTGTTTTGGAGTGTGCTAGGGATTGAACTCAAGGTCTCAAGCATATAAAACACATCCCTCCACCTCCACCCCTGTACCGAGGATAAAACTCCGGACTAGGTACCACTGAGCTAAATCCCCAGCCCACAGTAAGACACATTCTTAACCACTGAGGCACCCCCTCACTCCCAGGGGTTTTTTTCTTTTCTTTTAAATTACTACTGAGTATTAAACCCAAGGCCTTAACACAGAGCTGCATACATCCCAGCTCTTTTAATTTTTTTTTTTTCCCCCAGCCCTGGAAACTGAAGGCTTCAGCCCCCCGAGGTCTTCACATTGAGCTTCATTCCCAGTCCTTTTTATTTCCCATTTTAACTTAGGATATCACTTAAGTAATGAGTTGCCCAGGCAGGGCTTGAATTTATAGCAACCTACCACAGATTTGCTACCTTCTTTGTTTATTTTTGAGAAAGGGTCTCCTATACAGTTCAAGCCAGCCTTGAGCTCACTATGTAGCCTAGGCTGGCCTCAAATTCAGGATCCTCCTGCTTTAGCCTCCAGAGTGGCAGGTTACAGGTGTGTACCACCCTGCCCAGATGATTTGCTAGTTTAAAACAACAGGAATTAGGCCTGTATATTGGTCCACGCCTGTAATCCCAGCACTTGGGAGGCTAAGGCAAGAGGATCACCACAAGTTTGAGGCCAGCCTGGACTATAAAGTGAGTTCAAGGCCAGCCTGAATTACAAAGTGATACTCTGTCTCAAAAGACAATAAAACAAAATAAACAAAAAAACAGGAATTGTTGGCCATGGTGGTGCACTCCTGTAATCCCAGCATTTGGAAGAGTGAGGCAGGAGGATAAACTGGGTTCAAAACCAGCCTGAGCTACATAGTGAAGACTGACTCAAAAAGAAAAAATCCAGGTGCCTTGGTGCACACCTGTCCCAGCGCTAGGGTTGAAGAAGAAGGATCACCATGAGTTCAAGGCCAGAGGCCAGCCTGAGACCCTGTCTCAAGAGAAAAAATAAAACAACACAATTTTATCTCAGCATTCTAGAGGCCAAAAGACTAATCAAAGTGTTGAGTCCCCTTGGAGGCTCCAAAGGAGAATCTCTTCCAGCTTCTGATGTCAGCATTCTTTTTGTTGTAGTTGTTTTTCTTTCAGTTACTGGGGATTGAAACCAAAGCCTTCACACTGACCTATATCCCCAGCCCCCCAGCCCGTCCCCCATACCAG